CACACACACACACACACACACACACAATTCCGCAATCTTTTACCCCGGGGCAAATTGGCTTCGCCAGTTTCTGGCTGGTACCTCCGCGTGTCTCAATAGCACTCATTCTATTGTATTGTCCGTTACTCCGTCGACTCACCACCGGTCTATCTACCTATCTATCCATCTACCTGTCTACCCCCGGGTCCATTCAAAAGCTGATTGCTGCACCACAAAACTGTTGCTAGAGACGCATGCGCAGCAGTCCGGGCGGACTATTAAATCGTGGCGGTGCTGAGCCTGAGCCTCAAAATAAACGCATTCACACCCTGAAGGACCGTCTGTTACTCAGCCCGAATCTCTCGTTCTCTCGTCGTGGAGAAATTCGGGTTTCGTTCTCTTCTATGTCTGACGGCCAGTATCGAATAGCCCCGGGAACCGTATGGCTATTCTTGGCGGTGGTGATACCGTCACCACATCATGGAATACCACCTACACGGGGCATTCGAACGGAATGTAAGTTATGCAAACATTATGTCCAAAATTTCTGGTGAATTTACTTTATTGCTCATATTTCGAAGGAAGAAAATGACCTGGGTAGATTGATTTTCACCGATTATTACATGATCGATTAGGCTCATTGTACAAACAAAAAGCACACGTTTAACATTGTGCATGTCTTTCTTTGTATTAAAGCTTATGATTGATTCACACCAAATGGAGGAAATTCTAATCACTTTTATTTTCTTTTAGTAAGAAAAGGTTTTTACATGAATGCTTGGGCTAACACATAAACATCCGGAGACATCGCAGATATTGATCGAGACGAAGTTTTTTTTTGAAATTTAGCATTGCTTGTCTTTGGTTGGAATCTGACTGTGGTTGCATTCTCTCCCCCCTAACTTAGTCTGATTTTGTCTACAATGTAGATAATAAATACCGCTCCGGAGTGGAAACTTCTCAGCTGTTTGTGCGAATTATCGATTCGCGATGCGCACAATCTTCACTACAACCGATGTGTTCAAAGAATGTTTTATTGAACACATGAACATGGTTCAAAGCATATTGTATGTAATAAACACACTTCTGAATAGCAGGGATTTGACAAACTATTCACCGTAGTTCATTTGTGCTCAACACGTAACATGTTTCGAGCTTGAGTAGCTTTATTACACGTTCCCTCTCGCAAAATTCGTTAGAGCCAATCGATTATTGGTGATATTATTTGACCAGGTTTGCACGAATCATGATAAGCTATCGATTCATCTGAACAAAATCCACCTCCGTATAGACCTTTTACAGCAATATTATTATCTCAAGTATTTTAATTATGGTTGCTGAGGTATACTAACTAGTACAATTGATTGCGTATCAAATATTTTGTCTTGTTTTAGAGACTACTCACGTGTCACACCACGGTAAGTTATGACTGAAACACAACATTTCAGGGCACAACAAACAGCTGATCACATTTACTCACATCTACACATACACACACAGAGGTAACGAAGCTAAGATGTTAGATCTGAAGCAACACAATCGCTCACCATGCCAAAGAAAGTGATTTCTTTTTTCAATGCAACAAAAAACACGAACAAAACCTTTGCATTTTCGTGGAAGACTGGTGATATGTTGTTCCGTTTGTTAAATCACTCGACAGATCTGACCGTTCCTCTGGATTACCCAGAGCGAGGGCATGGATCAGTTTTGCAGTCCGACAACCTATCACATTCTTCCATGCTTGCATAAGGCAGAACTGCTCGCAGATTTATTATTTGTACACACACTCCCCCCAACCCGACCCCTACACACAGCCTCACATCTTTGTATATTTTTTCGTCATCTGATGAATTCAACCTCGTGGTTCATATTATTTTAATTGAGCATGAAATATTTCAGAAAAGTGGTGATCTTAATGGAAATAGTGTTTTGTCTATTTAAAGTTCGAAAATCCAAGGACCTCGCCTAAATATGTCTTTACCGGTGGCATTTGTATGCCTAAGCTGATTTTGGTAAAGGTCAGTCAGTCAATCAACCAGTCAATCAATCAATCAATCAATCAATCAGTCGATCCACCATACACTTTCTCCCATGTCAATCTAATAGGAAAGAAATCAGACAGCCATAGCGGTATCCCTGGCCTTCTCGTGACTTTTCACCTTGTCAATTAATGCGTTTCGGATCCGCCCAAATGACTCACCGATTTGGCGTTCTTGCAGCCCGCTCCCAAAAGTTTGACAGAGATCGCTTAGCACGAAACTGAACAAAACACACCCGGTACATAAGTATTGCAGCAAAGCGAAACTGCGCCAACTCTTGTAAGAATAATAGATCACTACATTGGTCCCAAAAACAGCAGAGACTAACACTTATCCTTGTCAAACAACCGGCTCAAACGATGAAAGCCACACAGTCCTCGGTCGGATTGGTCCCGTCCATTATGAGTAACTGCGATGTTTAGATAATTCAATGCCACCGGACAGATTTGAAAAAGAATTATCACTGACTCCGTGAGAGCAAGTATCTAGCTATCATGAGATCATTGTACCCCTATATTTCTCCGTCTGTTCCTTACGTAAGTGTTTCATAAGTGTTGTTCTATGGGATTTCATTGCTCACATATAAATCTCTCTCTCTCTCAACACAATGTTACTTGAGATGAAGCGGACGATGGAGGCAAAATTCATCGGAACAGTCCGTCATTTTTGGACCACATTATGGGGTAAGTTTTAGTTTTCTTTTCTCAACCATGAGTGTATCACTATAGTTTAACTGTCACGTCTTGAGTGTCTTGACCAATCGATGAAATAAGTGGTAAATGAACATCACTCTACAGTGCAATCCAGCACTTCACAGCTCCCATGTGATTTAAAAGACAAAACGGGGCGTGCTATATTTTGAAACATGTTTGGGATCGTGTGAGTTTTTTGTTCAGATCTGTCTGAATCCGATCCAGCTTTTGAGGATTGAACGATTCTCCGGAGGTTGAGTGCTCTGGTCGGAGCAACGGCAGCGATGATTGGGGAGGGCACTTATCGTCCAAAATAGTTTATTTTTGTCTCCAAATGATGTTGACCAATGAAAATCTATTGATCGTCATCATCATCATCATCATCATATTCTGTAATTTTCTGAGCATGATAAACAGGAACTTCACTCAAAAAGACAATCAGGACAGGCTGAAGATGTACAATACAAAAACGGAGCGTAGTTGAGAGCGCTCATTTTAAAACTAGTTCATTAATTTAAAGTTTAAATGCAAAAAAGTTGAAGGGGAGGAGAAATGTATGGAAAGACTGGGGGTATCCTAGATCTTCCAATTTTGTGAAAATCAAATAGAAACTAAACTACAAGTGTGAGCAATCGATTGATAAAACTTTCCTGCAGCTTGTATGATAGTTAAGCAAGTGAAG